CCTGCTACAGATGGGTCAAGACACTCCCGCCACCCACCAACCTCTGTGTGACCTGTGTCAGGAGGGTGGCTCCTAACCAGAGGAGGAGATGCCCAGCCTTCCTCACAACAGAAATGCAAATTAAAACCAGCCTGAGGCCTGTATGCTCCCAGCACTTTGGGAGGCTTAGCCAGGAGTTTGAGACCAGCCTGAGCAATATAGCAAGACTCTGTCTTTACAAAAACAATTAAAATTAGCGAGGTGTACCCTGTAGTCCCAGCTGCAGGGAAGGCTGCAGTGAGCTATGACTGCGCTATGGCACTCTGACCTGGACAACAGAGCAAGATCCTGTCTCTTAAAAAAAAAAAAGAAAAGAAAGAAAACAAAACAAATAAAAACTACCCTGATATAGCCCATCTCACCTACGAGATTGGGAAAAATCCAAAAGTTTACTGACCAGGCCATAAGGAAATAGGACGTCTCATTCATGCTGGGACAATGCAAAATAGAGCCATCCCTACGGATGGGAATTTGGCAATTGCTAGCAAAATTACACAAACCTTTATTCTTTGCTTCATCAATCACAATTCTGAGAATCTAGTCCCAAAATACATCTGCAAGACTGAAAAGATGCATGTACACAGCAATTCACTAAAGCACTATCCCTAACAGCTGAAAACAGAAAAGCTTCCAGGTCACCCTCAGTGGGGGCTGGCTGATGGACAAGAGCTCCCCGGTAGGAAGCAGCGCTGTATGGCCGTGGAGATGAGAAGGGCACACCTACCACTCTGGAACACCCCCAGAGCACATGAGTAAAGAGAAAGCAGGTGGCGAGTGTGCAGGAAGCTGCTGCTCAGTGGGGGGCGGGGACGCTGCACCGTGCACAGGTCACCAGCAGGACAGCTTCACACAGCTCTACACAGGAAACAGGCAGACAGCCTCCAGTGAAGTGATTCCTAGGACTGTCATCCTCTGGACCCCCAGTGATGGCCTAGATGTGAGGACACAAATCTCACACAGGGCAGGTGCAGGAGCCTCTTTGGGAGCTTCACTCTCCACTGAAGCCAGGCAGAATTTCACTGAACTAAGGGATGCCCAAACATTTAACTTCCTACCAGGCGTAGTGCAGGGGTCAGCCTACTATAGTAAGGAGGACAGCCTGGCTCAGAGGGTCAGACCCCTGGCAAAGTGATGAGGCTACCTGCCGAGGGTGGCTACATGGGTAAGGCACATGCAGGAAGCTCTTTCAGCGAACTTCCAGGGGAAAGAGCACCTTTGCCCCTTCCTATGTATGTCTGACCTGACCTTGACCTAGTAGGAGGGCCTGCAAACAGTGACAACCCAGAAGCATGAAGCACCGTGCAGTCCAGACTATAGTTTCTGCACAGAAACCAGGGCTCCCTTGGAGAAACGGCAGATGCTAGGACTGGGACAGGCAAAGTACAAGGTAAGCCTGTATCTTGTTATGTAAGAAAGGGTGATGGGAGCATGTTAAATGGACTCAGAGGTGGGTTAAAGTGGCTACCACCAGCCCAATCTGAGATCATTTGAGCATTAAAGTAAGTAACAATAATACTGGAGTGTAATTCATGGGATAATGTAAAAACCATGAATCTACACTAACATATATAAATGAACAAATTAAAAATTTGAGATGAGGAACAGGCCACACACATGGTTACAAAGTACCTCTCCACAAAATACTAATTACAAAGGTAAAGAATAACTTTACAACAGGGAAACCTGGCAGACATTGACTTAACCAAAGATCAGAGTGAGTCTCAGTACCAAGAATGGCACAGAAGAGGTGTGAGACTCCCACCCAGGACTGTCACCTACCTCTAACTGGAGTAAACTTTAGACAGCCAGCACCTGTTTTCTTGAGCCTTCACTGGCCCCAGGTGGTCCTGCAACAACTCACAAGTTTTGTCATCACCTAAGTACTCATCTGAATAGGAAACGGTAGCGTGCAGCAGTGCCCAGGGCTGCACAGGCGGGTGGGAAGACAGAGGGCACCGCTTCCCAAGTGTGGTAAGAGGGGCCAGCAGTCCAGCCAGCACCTGCACTTTCCAACTGCCTCTCCAGCTCATTCTGAGTTCCACAGAAACTTGCCCCTGGATCCCACACTGCTGTTCTCAGGCAGCAAAGGCCCAAAGACAGACACACAGACCAACACGCTCTTGTGACCTCCTCCTCCTCCAAGATGGACAAGCAGCTACAGTAGAGACATTCTAAAACACACATGAAACCAGCCAGAAACTGATATTCCATTTCATATACCAAACCAATTAAGAAAAGGAAAGCTAGATTTCAAGCAGTGACTGTTTTTTCTCCATATTTTTAGGGATATGTCTTCTGAAATGTTTGTAATTTTAGGCAAAATGACGATCTTGTATTAGCTGAGCTGTGGGAAAGATAGACCCTCAACCACTCATAAAAAGATGCTGGATAAGATCCAGTTCATTTTAATCCTGAATATTTTCCAAATTCCTCTATTGCTTTTAATATCACTGGCAAGGACCCACTGGGGTAACTCAATAAATCAATATAACTTTTGCACATACAGAAATATCACTCCTTACCTTTTTCTAAAACATGAGCAATGTATATCAAGGGAATTTACAAATAAAATGGGGGTTATTTATAGAGGAACAGAGAGTTACAACAGTGAAAGATGAGATCCCCGCCTATGAGGAAACGCAGCAGGGAAGGCAGGGGCAAGTTTCCTATTCACAGATATTATCTGTTCAGTAACTTCACCGTATCACTTTCATTTTCCAAAGTCAATTACCTTGAAGTCTAGAATATAGAAACTTTTCAACAGAATAATCTGTGTTCTTGGTACCTCACTGCAAAAGTAACATCCAGTGCTCCAGTGAGGGTGGGAGATGTCTTAGCAATGTTTTCTCAAGAAGGGCATCTGTGTGTCCCTCAGTCAAGCCTGCAGGTAACTCAAAGCAGTTGTGCATCCTGAATTGAATGAAATGTCCTAAAGGCTTTCTGGAGCTAAGATGAATTTCATTGATTGGTCCTGCTCAAAAAAATTTCCAAATTAATGACTCACATTCTCCAAGATGCAGAGGTGCAGGACTGAGGCGGTTTATTATCTGGCTAGAACTCCTTACAAAGAAAAAAGGCCTCACAGCGTCTTTATCCTCTATTATCACCACCTTATCACTCTCATTTATCCTCCCAAAAGCCAAGTGTATAGCTATTTAACACGTAAAACCTTCCAATGGAATAAATATAATCGCAGAGGCTAATTTAAAAACCCCATGCTGTGCTAGGCAAAAGGAACGCCAGGTGCCTGCTCTTTAGAACCACCTTGACTATGGCTGGGAACCACAGAACCCTTCCCTGAGCCTTCTCAACAGTGAAAAACTCCACTGACAACCAGCTCCCAAACAGCACCCAGCCCAACCACAGAACAATCTGGACTCTACAGCAAAGGAAGGAAAAAAAGCATCTTCGGTAGAAAGAAGTTGCTGGAAACATGAAAAATGAGAACAATGTCCTTCGAACAGAAGAAATAAAGGGAACCAAATAAGACTGTCAAAACCTTCCAAGATAGAAGAGAAAAAGCAAAGAAAACATTGATCATAGAACAAAAGATATCAAATAAAGGAAACAGCTGAGAAACAGAAAGATAAAAGAAACAGACCCTAACATCAGCTACAGCAGCGTTAGGGGTATTAAAAAAACGAAGAATCCCATGGCTCAGTGCCTATGGCTCAAGCGGCTAAGGCGCCAGCCACATACACCTGAGCTGGCAGGCTTGAATCCAGCCCTGGCCGCCAAACAATGACGGCTGCAACGAAAACATAGCCGGGCATTGTGGTGGGCGCCTGTGGTCCCACCTACTTGGGAGGCTGAGGCAAGAGAATCACTTAAGCCCAAGAGTTGGAGAGTTGGAGGTTGCTGTGAGTTGTGATGCCACAGCACTCTACTCGGGGCGACAGCTTGAGGCTCTATCTCAAAAAAAAAACAAACAAAGAACCCCAGCAAATACTTCTGCACAAGCACACACCCAGCTCCTATGGGTAAACAAAGCATTACATGAGCCATACGTATAACCAACAGAACTCTTCTGTTTGATAATAGACATAATCCATAAGGAGGAATTTTATGAGCTTGGTTAGCATCAAAATATTCAAAGCAAAAATTACTTGAAACATGAACACACAAGGTGGGGTAATCTGACAAATCACAAAAGTATAGAGAGTAAAAGACTTCTCTCTCTTAATTTTTAGTGAGCCAATGCCAAAAATGTACAACTAGAGAGAGGAGCTCTGAGTAAAGTAGGTGCAGCCTGCAGACACAATGCCACAGCCAAGTGCCTTATTCCCAGCACCCACAACAATGTAGTCTGACGCTAATAAACAGTAATGTCAAAAATGCAAAGAATCTCCAAAATGGACACTGTGTGGCTCGTGTTATCTGAGCACAGTACAATAAAATTAGAAGTTCATAAAAAAAAGTTATTAAAACTTTATCCTCCATAACTCTAGGAATGAAGGAAATCAATTTCAATTTCAGCTGTTTACAAAATGAGGAAAAGATTTAGAGGACACGGCCAAAACTTTAGGAAAAGGTAAATTAGGCTTGGCACCCGTAACTCAGTGGGTAGGGCACCAGCCACATACACTGAGACTGGTGGGTTCAAACCCGGCCCAGGTGTGCTAAACAACAACAACTACAATAAAAAATAGCCAGGCACTGTGGGGGCACCTGTAGTCCCAGCTACTTGGGAGGCTGAGGCAAGAGAACAACTCAAACCCAAGAGTTTGAGATTGCTGTGAGCTGTGACACCACAGCACTTTACCAAGAGCAACATAATGAGACTCTGTCTCCAAAAAAAAAAAAAAGATTAATAGCTTTACCTTTTATTACCTTTTACCTTGAACTTTTACATTATTAATCAAGAAAAGAATGAATAAGCTTCAATTCAAAAGGTTAGGAAAAAAATAAAGAAAAATCAAAAACAAAGATAACAATAGATAAAAATAAGTAGGCAGAAAAATAAAACTGATAAACATAAGAAAAGTTCTTTTAAAAGGCTAGCAACACTCTAAAGAGCCATCTGAAAGAGAGGAAGAAAGCAAATACAGAGAACAAGCAGTGAGAAGGGGCTCCAGGGCCAGGCAGGGCAGCACTGACCTGATGAGGGCCTGCAGGATGTCCGCCCTGCCCACACGGGAGGCATGGTAGACCGGGGTGCTGCGATGGTGTCGGCTTCCATTGGGATCTGCGCCAGCTTCCAGAAGGATCTGGGCACTCTCCAGGTGCCCGTTTACCACAGCAACATATAGGGCTGTCTGCCCCTTCACGTCCACCAGGTCCACCTCGGCCCCCTTCCGGATAAGGAAGTCCACACAGCTCCCATGGCCCGCAGTGGCTGCGATCCGCAGCGGCGTGCAGGGCAGCCAGCCACAGCACCAGACGGACTTCTCATTGATGCGGCTACAGAAGAGCACAGAGAGGGAGCTTGTGAGAGGGTTGAGACGGCCAGGCTGCGTACTGCCAGAGAGGGGCCATCACACCACAGCCCTCCCTCCACTGTAACAATGGCTCCACCTGAAATACTCTGCTTTCTGAAATACTTCAATGTCTCCCCGCTGCTGGACCTGTATGTATGGCAGGGCTGGCATCAGAAGCTTCATTCCAGGGAGGAGGAATGTAAAGGCTCAGACAGGAAGATCAGCCCTGAAACTAAGACGTCTGCTCTCAGATCTATGGCCCTGCAGTCCAGAGCACCACCTTTTACAAAGGAGGCAGGGTGTGCAGGGATGCGGTGCGGGGTGAACAGCACACACACCTGGGAATCCGGGCCAGGGTCCCCAGCCCCCTCTTCACCAGTTACCACCTGCAAAGGCCTGAGACTAGGAGTCTTGCTGGGCTCAGAGTCCTCCCTGGGTCTAGGTGACCACTATGGTCCCCTCATCTCTGACACAGCACGAATGACACATTACAGAGGTGGCATGGGGGCACAGGGACAGCAGCAAAGAGAAACTGTCCAGACGCAGTTCTCAAGGACTCAGATAATCAGACTGCAGGTGCCCAGACCTACTGACCCACCAGGCTGGCATCAAGGGTCAGTTCCCTACCCCACTCCCACGTAACTCAGAACAAAGACTGAGAACCCAGAGCACTGAGCCAGTGACCCAGGGTGTGTAGAAGGCAGCTCCTCAAACCAGCCTGCGGGTTCCTCCTTCAGCTGCAACAGAGGAAATGTCCCATGAATCCGCCACCCAGAACCAAACAGCAACAGAGTAAAAGGAGACGCCCCGAGCCTCGACGTGAGAAGAAAGGGGACAAGTAGGGCTGGAAAAGCACCATGGGAAGGGCGGTGCCTGTGGCTCAGAGGAGGGCGCCGGCCCTGTATACCAGAGGTGGTAAGTCAAACCCAGCCCTGGCCAAAAACTTCAAAAAGAAAAAAAGACTCAGTCTGAGACCTAGCTGAGCTCTGCTCTACGGTTATATCTGCAAGTTTAATTAAGGTTTTCTCAGGGCTTGACTCATCCACATTAAATATTTGTACATAATCCGTCTCTGTATGATAATCCTTTCTAGGATTTTTAAAAAATACTGATACCTGCTCTGATGAAATACTACGACGCTAGAAGGAAACAAATTCCTAGACTGTTACAAATCCTTTCCTCGGGAACTATCAAAGGAAAGTGGCAGCATTAGTTGCAGCATCGACATGCAGGCCTTTCTTCTATCACTGCCATCCTGGTGCTAAAGTGGAGGCAGAAATGCGGGAAGAACAGAGGCGTTTCAGTTGCAGCAGAGTTCAAAATCTACCTGGACTCAAGTCTGAAGACACAGAAACAATCAGAGAATAGCCCGGAGAGTGCAGACTCTGCTCACCCAGGGGTCCTGAGCAGAGACACAGATCAGCATGAGTCCAGGGCCATGAAGAAAATGCTGGAGCTGGTCTGGAGGACCAGAGGATTTGGCAAGCAAGGTCAGAGGCCTACCAACAGGGAGAGCACCCATCCACGGGGAGACGGGACAGATGCCCAAGGCTGGACCCTGGGTCTGAAGGCAGGTAACTGAGCGCCAGAGAAGCTAGGGTGCAGAGGGTGCCAGGTGGAAACAGTCAAGGAAGCTGCACACAGGGTTCTTGACACAGTGCCACAAGAGACTCAGAGGACAGCCACCGCTGAAGGGAAACATCAGGAAGCTGGCGCCCAGAGAGGGCAGAAGCTGCCATAAAACACAAAGGTCAATGCCAGAAGTGACCTGAACTCGGACTTCCCACCCACACTGTCGGGCTGTCTCCTACGACTCTGAGCATGCTTCCTCAGCCTGTTTTCCTCCCCACCCTCTACGTGCAACATGCTTCTCTCAGCACCAGGGTCTTCATCTGCACACCGTGAGCCTCAGCTTCATGCAGACCCATGGATGCCGGGAACCTGCTCCAGCTGGGCGGCAGCACTCACCTCCGGTAGCTCTCCTCTTGCAACAGGCTCCTGAGGGTCTGGAGGTCCCCCACATAGGCTGCATCGTGGAGCCTCGTGTCCTCACAGTGCTCCAGCGGATGGTCACAAAACTGCTCCCGTAGCCACTCCTTCAGATTAGGACCTGCGCTGGAGAGAGGGGCTCCTGTCAGCTCTGCGAGATCTGGCCACGGCAGGCCAACAGGGGACGCCATCTGCACAAGCACATCCTCTACCAGCTACTCTCAAAATCTTAAGAAACAGGCTGGGCACCCGTAGCACAGTGGTTACGGGCCAGCCACATACACCAAGGCTGGAGGGTTCAAACCCAGTGTGAATCAGCTAAACGACTACAGCAACAAAAAAATAGCCAGGCAATGTGGCCAGTGCCGGTAGTCCCAGCTACTTGCGAGGCTGAGGCAAGAGAATCTCTTAAGGCCAAGAGTTGGAGATTGCTGTGAGCTGCGATGCCACAGCACTCTAACAAGGACAACATAGAGTGACTGTCTCAAAAAAAAAAAAAATCTTAAGAAATAAATCTCAGAAAATGGGAGGACGTTTCCCTTCTGAAACCAGCACATTCCTGACAACCCTGACAAGCATAACTTTTAAAAAGCTGATGGGGATAGGAGACTATAAGCTAAACCTAATTTAAGAATACAGAGAAGCCAAAGGAGGGTTGCTTGAGCCCAGGAGTTTGAGGCTACAGGGAGCTAGGACACCACTGCACGCAGATGTTAAGAAAGCAAAACAGCCTTGCTGCTGGTCTGCAGAAAGTCTGACTGGTCTGGACAGATCTACCAGCCACACCACCACCTCAAACCAGAGCTTAATCCAGAGCAAGGCCCTAACTCTTCAATTCTAAGAAGGCTGAGATTGGTGAGGACAGTGCAAAAGGAAAGTCTGAAGCCAGCAAAGGCTGGTTCATGAGGTCTAAGAAGCCGTCTCCAAATAAAGTACAAGATGCAGCAGCAAACGCTGATGGAAACGCTGCAGAAAATTACCCAGATCTAGCTAAGATCACTGATGAATAAACAGGTTTTCTTATAAAGAGAGAACAAAGTCAGTAGAAAGGAAGATAGTGAAGATTCAAGAGAAAGGGGAAAGGGAGTATCTGAAGAAGGGCTCAGAGGCGAAGGGATCAAGGAGCCAAGTGGGACAGGAGAGTTTACAAACAATCTCCTACTAGGACTTTCACAGCTAGAGAGGAGAAGGCAGTGCCTGGCTTCAAAGGACAGGCTGATTCTCTTATTAGGGGCCAATGCAGTTGGTGACTTTAGTTGAAGCCAATGCTCATTTACCATTTTAAAATCTACAGCCTCTGCTCTATAAATGAAATAACAGAACCTGAGTGACAGCACCTTTGTTCATAGTGTGGCTTACTAAATGATTAAAGTTCAATGTGGACACCTACCACTCAGAAGAGATTCCTTCCAAATTAGTGCTCATTGACAACACATCTCATCACCCAAGAACTCTGACAAATACCTGGAGAGGATGTTTTCTTGCTGCCACACACCCGCCAATCTGCAGTCCATGGGTCAATGAGTGATTCTCACTAAGTCTTACTATTATGTAAGAAATACATTTTGTAAGACTATAGATGCCATAAATTGTGATTCTTCTAATGGATCTAAGTAAGCAAAGTATACAGAAAACCTTCTGGAAAAGATTCACCATTGTAGATGCCACTGAGGACATTCATGATTCTTGGAAGATCAAAATATCATCAACAGAAATTTGAAAGAAGTTGATTTTTTATTCCAACCCTCATGGACCAAGGGATCCAAAACTTTAGTGGAGGAAGAGCCACAGGTGCAGTGCGAGTCACAAGAGAACTGGAAGTGGAAGTGGAGTCTAGCCAGGCACAGAGGCTCACACCGATAAGTGCGGCACTATGGGAGGCCAAGGTGGGAGGACCACTTGGGCCTGAGACTTCATGACCAGCCTGGGCAACATAGGGAAACCCCATCTCTACAAAAAATAAAAATAAAAAAAAAAAAAACAAAAAAAGTAGAGGCTGAAGACATGACTAAATTCTTGCAATTACATGATGAAATTGGAATGAAGAGTTGGTTCTCATAGACGACCAAAGAAAGCGGTTTCTTGGGATGGAATCCACTCCTGGTGAAGATGCAGTGAACACTGGTGAAGTACCTCAGTGGTCACAGTGCTGGCCACATACACAGAGGC